GAGTTTAAATAGCGGACTAAGTTTGATAATCTGGGCTAAAAATATAGTTGTCAAACATAGATTTAATGAGTTTTGTAGGCTTTTATTCTCAACCCATCTTCCAAATCCCCCCTTGCCCCACATGCCAAACAGGTTATAAGTTTTAGCAGTCCCCATGAAACGGGTTGGTTGAATATACCCTTCTATTGAGTGTTAGGGAGACTTGGTGCATCTCTGTCCATGTTGAAAAGGGTTACCCATGACATGCCGTAAATTAAAATGTTTTTTTGGATAAATATGCTTTAAATTAAGATAGTAACATCTTTATAATTTGAAGTTAGTAGAGTAATATCCATATACATCCTCTTAAATAAGTTTAAAAAAATATACCCACACCCAAAAAACTCTAATTTTTTTATAGGTTAATGGGCCGAGCAAAGGAATGTCTTCTTACTTCCTATGCCACGAAAGGGCCTCGTCTAAATGAGATTAGTGAACGGGCCTTTACCAAGACATGCCAGGCTAGCCCGTGTCACTGTAGGTTGATGTTCTAATTTGGGTTGGGCAAAGTTTAAGACCACTAAAATTGAGCAATATTTTCTCAAGGAGTTTGAAGAAAGTCAAAAAAGGCAGTGTCTATATTTTTTTTTTATCAAATATTGTATCTCAAATGGCGTGTTAAATTCATATGCCTTGAATGTTTGATAGAGTTAATAGACCCACTGATTCTGATTTGAGATATAAAATTTAATAAATAAGATTCAGCACAAAGTAAAGTTTCAATCCTGAACAGTTTAGCAGAACTCGAGCACGGTTACTTGATAAACATCCATGGAAAAAAATCAACAACCATACTTTACAAAGGTAGAAAGAACTAAAAGAAAACACAACACACAATAAAATTTGAATCTTGGACAACGTAGCAGAACTCAAGCATGGTTATTTGATATCTAATAAGGAGTGACACACCTAATTTGATGCCAACTCTGCAGATGGGACCAATACAATAACTCGAGGACTTTGTGATATATTTATTACAGATCCACTGCCGAAACACACCAACCAACAACAAATTGAAGGTGGGTCGCAATCAAAGACTCAATTCTGTCCACTGTGCATCAACAACAAAGAGAAGAAAGAAGAAAGAAACTCAGAATCTCAGATCCACTGTGCATCAATTCTATCCACTGTGCATCTACAACACGGAACTCAGACTCAGATCAAGCTCTAGAAAGACAAGAAAGAAAGAAAGAAACAAGCTCCATCTCTCGTCTGAAATCTATATTTAATTTTTCTGAAATAAGATTTTTTTTTACTCATTTATCATATATTTATATATAATATATTTTAATTTTAACTAATTTTTTGAAATAATTATTTATTTATTATTATATTATTTTTTTTAAACGGATAATGAATGGGTCGATAGTTTTCACCCCAACACGGCCTATTTATTAAACGTGTTTGACGGGTTAATCCGTTTATCACTCGAACTCGTTAATGTCTCACCAAAATTCGTTTAATTTGTATCGATTAATTGCTTCGTGTTGAATTTTGACACGCTTCCACACACACAAGTGAACACTTTCTCGCATTTATCCCAGTTGGGGTGATCTAAGGCCAGCCAAGCTCGATCCCAAATCCATAGACTGAATATGGGCCCAAATTCAGCCTTCAAATTGAATGTTTGGGTCAGCCCAAACCTTCATGGACTCTCTCACCAACAATTCCAACATTGGTGTGTCCCACTATCAATCATCCTTCTAAGCCATAATTGTGTAGGCAAATGGAAGATGTCAATTCCAATAAAAAATAAGCAACTAGAAGAGTTGGCCCTCTATTTTTTTTTTTGGCTTAGGGAAGTCGGTACATATAGAAAAATTTAATAGGATAAAAATATATTTTTTAAAATAATTGGGATAGAAGTACATATGCTAAAAAAAAGTCATAAAAATTCTTTTACATCTACTATAAATAGTGTATACCTAATTAAGTGTGAAACTTTCAAGATTAGAATATAAGATTTTTAAGATTTATTTTGATATTTGTATATCATTTGAATTTTAAAATTTCATATATATATATACACACACACACACGTAATACCGTGACATCAAACAATGACACGCTCAACAAAAAAAGAATAACATCAAACAGTAACAGAATCAATTCAAGATTAGAATATAAGATTTATAAGATTTCTTTTGATATTTGTATATCATTTGAATTTTAAAATTTTATATATATATATATATATACACACACACACGTAATACCGTGACATCAAACAATGACACGCTCAACAAAAAAAGAATAATATCAAACAGTAACAGAATCAATTTTTGTATACCTAATTAAGTGTAAAACTTTCAAGATTAGAATATAAGATTTTTAAGATTTCTTTTGATATTTGTATATCATTTGAATTTTAAAATTTTATATATATATATATATATATATATACACACACACACACGTAATACCGTGACATCAAACAATGACACGCTCAACAAAAAAAGAATAATATCAAACAGTAACAGAATCAATTCAAGATTAGAATATAAGATTTTTAAGATTTCTTTTGATATTTGTATATCATTTGAATTTTAAAATTATATATATATATATATATATATATATATATATATATATACACACACACACACGTAATACCGTGACATCAGACAATGACACGCTCAACAAAAAAAGAATAACATCAAACAGTAACAGAATCAATTCCCCCCCCCCCCCCACCACCACCACCACCACCACCACCACCAAACAATCCAACACAACCCAACCCAACACAAATTCCAATTCCATCAACAACCAATTTAGATACCACAAGAGACCATTGACACCCCCTTTTATAATATCTCACTTCCTCGACACACTCTCTTTTCAATTACTAGGAATGTGATTTGTTTCAATATATATATTATATATATTTTTTTTTTGTTGTTAGGCCATTTACAGTTAATTTAAGTAACTTCTATAGTATATAAGTGAATTTGTCATTAATAATACATGATAAATAATTTTGTCAATAAATAAAATAAAATTTGAATCCCGACCACCATGACCTAAGTTGATGTAGGTTGGGCCCTATTATTAATAGGTTTAGAGTGGATGCATTAATTTGTAGAGTACATACCCTACCCCCAATTTAATGCCCGAATTTATGGGGAAACAAAAGTGACAAAAACCTTAAAAAGCAAAATACTACTATTTTGCAAAGAAATGGACACGTTGGCAAAGATGGAGATTGGTCAATGCCGTGAGCCAGAGATATCGAATATAATAGGGATATTATACAACTATTAAATAAACGAAATAAATATTTTATTACACATCTTATCACCGTATAATAAAAATTAATTTAATAGATAAAATGAATTTTACTGAACGGGGGATTAGTAAATTATATGAAATTTATTTATTTACTTGTTATTATTTTATTAAATAATATTGTAAAATAATAATAATGATGTAATGTTATTGTTATTTTAATGTCGGTTACAGTCCGTGCGGTCCCCCACGTGAAAATCCTCCGTTACGTACGCCTAGGTCTGTCCAAACCTCGAAATCCATGCCTAGCTAAGATAGGCCAAATGGGCCTCCTAAGTTTTTCCAATTTACACAAAGGCCCATTTCACATTTTGTTATGTTTTTATTGTATTGTATTTTTTGTTTTGTGTATGTGCAAGTTTCTTTTATTAGTCATTTTTATCCGATATATCTTTCTCCAACCCAGTTCCTATTATATGAAGAAATGAGAATAATAAAAAATCTTATATTTTAATTGAAAAATACCAGTTACATAAGTTTTTGTATCTAACACTAATTCAATGCATTGTTTTATTTATGATTGACTATCGTGTCACTTTCTTAGATGGTGGCATATTTAATGTGAATATGCAAATTAACTCCCCTAGTTTAAGAATAAGTGTGATGGTTATACTACGCCAGCCTTGCTCTATAATAACTCATGAAATGTGACCTTCCGAAAAAAAAAAAAAACTCATGAAATGTGTAAGATGAATCTCACTTTTTTATATGAAGTAGTTACGATCTTACATGGAAGAGAACAATTATTTAAAAGAGTGTGGTTCACTTTGCTTGTTTGGTGCATTATCATTAAACAATTCAACTATGTAATAATGCTGATATAATGTAACCGTTTGAATGTATATTTTCTCTCGGTGTAGACTTAATGTCTAACAATTTGAAGTGTAGAGATGGGTAATATACCATTAAACCATACAAAGTTGTGAGTATTGTTTGTATCCTCTTAAACATTTGCAGATTTTGGTTGTGTCTCATACATAAATTAGTTTCTTTTTATGGCTGGTCATTTATCAAAACAAATTTTCTTTTTTTGCTGGCCATTTATCAAAACTAATTTCCTTTTTGTTTGCTGGTCATTCATAACAACATATTTAGGAAAATTATGTTGCCATCTTGATATTATTATTATTGTGCAACCAAATTTCCCAAAATATATTGGGTTTAGGGGTTAACAATATTATCCATTTATGGCTTTTTGTTGGTTCGTGTAATTCCCTTGATCAGGATCATCAGATTCAGATTTCTAATAATATATTTTTTAGTAATTTTTAGACCAATTGTGGTATATTGATAAGGAATTCGATTACGTGTTTATTTAATGAAATTGAAAAAATATATAGATAAAATTAATTAAATCCCTAATCTTCACTTTAATTGTAATTGTTCCCTACTAAAGAAATACGTTACCAAGTCAAACACAACCTTCACCACTTAAATTCATACTTTTCCCAACACCAACACATGTAAGCTCACCTACTCTCCCTTCCCTTTTCTGTAACGCCTCCCCCAGTCTCTCTCTCTCTCCTCCTTAAACTGTTCCTCTCAGAGGCAACACGTCAAACACCTGCCAAACCCTATTCGCACACTCTTTATCCTCTCTCCTTATCCTACACAAAGATCTGGGTTAAGGCTGAGGTCGCACTCCCAATCTCCATCGATCAACCGATCGGACAATGGGAAAAGGCGGAGCTCTCTCCGAAGGCGTTGTGAAGAAGATCTTGCTCTCCTACGCCTACGTTGGGATATGGATCACACTTTCCTTCTCTGTGATTGTGTACAACAAGTACATACTCGATCGGAAGATGTACAACTGGCCGTACCCGATCTCTCTTACCATGATCCACATGGGTTTTTGCTCCTCCTTGGCCTATCTCCTAGTTAAAGTCTTCAAGGTCGTCGAGCCTGTTCAGATGTCTCGTGATCTGTATCTCAAATCCGTTGTGCCAATTGGGTTGCTTTATTCTCTCTCTCTATGGCTCTCCAATTCGGCTTATATATATTTATCTGTGTCATTTATCCAAATGCTCAAGGCTTTAATGCCAGTGGCTGTGTATTCTATAGGGGTTCTTTTGAAGAAAGAGTCGTTTAAATCGGATACTATGGCTAATATGGTTTCGATTTCGATTGGGGTTGCGATTGCAGCTTATGGGGAGGCTAAATTTGATAGCTGGGGAGTGATTTTGCAACTGGGTGCTGTTGCTTTTGAGGCGACGAGGCTTGTGATGATTCAGATTTTGCTTACATCGAAGGGTATTTCATTGAATCCCATTACTTCACTTTATTATGTTGCGCCATGTTGTTTGGTTTTCTTGTCTATTCCTTGGATTATTGTGGAATACCCATTGTTGAGGGACACTTCGAGCTTTCACTTTGATTATTTGATTTTCGGGACCAATTCATTTTGTGCTTTTGCTTTGAATTTGGCTGTATTCTTGCTTGTTGGGAAGACTTCTGCTTTGACTATGAATGTGGCTGGGGTGGTGAAAGATTGGCTTTTGATTGCATTCTCTTGGTCGGTGATTAAGGACAGGGTGACCCTGGTGAATTTGTTTGGGTATGGATTGGCTTTCTTGGCTGTAGGGTACTACAACCTTTCGAAATTGCAGGCGCTTAAGGCAAAGGAAGCACAGAAGAAGGCTGGGCAGACTGATGAGGAGGCTGGAAGGTTGTTGGAGGAGAGACAGGGGGAAAATGCGGGAAAGAAGGACGAATCACAGGGTTGAATTGATCTATATTTTGAAACTTCCGCAGAGAATTATTGGAATCTGGTGAAGGGTTTTGAGGATGGGCGACGAAAACCCGGTATTCCAATCAAGTTTTACTTTGGATATGTGGTCCTAGAATTTTTTATGATGTCCTTTAGACTTCTAATTTACAGTTGTTCTTGGTTATTGTCACTTCATGGTATTGGGAGTTTGATCTATAACCATCATAATGCCAATGTAGGTGACTTGAGAATGACTCAGTTCGCTATCTTTTTATATATTATTAATGTTTCAGACTCCTGCTTTTGGAGAAGAATCGTTATGCTTATCTATATATGGTTCGACTTGATTACTGTCTTTATTTGTTGCAATTCATAATAGGATCAATATGGATGTTGATTATTCTCTTTCAAACTCTGGTTTTTTTGGCCTCTATTTTATGTAGTTTATGTTGTGATGCATATGGCAGTTTGTCTGTGAAATCCAGTCCTTGAATTTGTATATAGAAGTTATCACTTTTTGTGTGAGAATTCGTGTAATATAATAATGATTGGAATTAATTTTAGAACTTTTCTTTGAAAAGTTGTGATCTTGTTCGATTAATGGATCCAACGATGATGTGATTTATAAATGATTGAATAGATTGCAACAATTGATTACTATATTGGAAATGTCATAATCTTGTAAGACAAATGGAACCAAAGATGATATGAGTTGTGAATTGTTGAAGTGTAGGCCTGCAACAATTGTTGTCTGATGTCCAGAATATCCGATGATGGATGGATTTGTGGACAACCCATTGTTTATGTCTTGCAATCTGGCTTCTATGCTGCCAAGAAAGTGTTTTGTCTTTGGAGATGTACTTGTATTTGGTACAACTCCAACTGCTCTTTGTGGCATCCCCTTTTCTTCCAACAGCTATGTCATCAAATGCTGACCAATATTTCATTTCCTACGTCAAATCTTAGTATATCTCAACTTTCTACTAGTTGTTCGGTTGAAATTTGACAACGTGATTGAAATTGTTTTTAGTCTCGCTAAATTATCAGAAGTAACTCAGTAGCCTAACTCTCTGTGTAAAGAACCTCCGATATAAGTCTTTCCTGTCTGAAACAAAGCCTCGATAAGTTAGTTTTTGAACATTTAAAAGTGGTGTAGGCGTCAATGTCATGTTAGGTGCATCCCCTCCCCCCAGTGTGGTGTTGTCTCGCACTCTTATCGTCTTATTGCGTGGAAGCTCTTAACAACCTATTTATTTATTGTGAATAGATTATATAAATAAATTGCTGATTGTGCCTGCCAGCAATGTTTGAATTGTTCCTCCCAATTAATCCATCAATTATTGAAGTATGTATGACTTATAAAACTTATATTTGTTCCTTCCACGCCCCTTGAATGGATGATGTACCAATGCATCTTCAAGGACGACCCTAAGGTACTGGGTGTATTTGCCCGGGGAATAAATAAATAATTATATTTGGGTGTAATGAAAGTCAGAGGAGATTATTAGTAACATATACGGCAAGTGAAAAAAGGACAATCCTAAGGTACTGATTTTTCACTTTCATATAATATTGAAAAGTAAAAAAAATATTTATATATTTTATTTGAAAATAAGGTAAGTTTCGTCACAAAAAATGATTAGTTTCTTCACAAAAGGTGGCAAGTGCACTTAAAAGGTGAGAATGCATCACCAAACTTTGTAATATTCACTCAAAAGGTGATATAGATAAGCAGGACAGGGTCAGACCCTCTTTCCGATTATTGAATCCTGCAATTGCTCCCACCGAATAAACTTTGTTTCTTTCTTGATATTTGTGTACGCATATCAAATTGAATCGAAGTGAATTAAATTATAATTAGATCAAATTTATATTCAAATCTAAAATCTTAGAATATAATGTAATATATTCCTACTTAGATAATTAGTCAAAAATATTAATCTATGTCTTAATAATCGAAGTCGGAGAATAATTGATTCGATAACCGAAATAAGTACATTAAAAAAATTCTATTTATTGTGTGCAAAATATCAAACATTAATTTAGACGAGTTATTAATCAATCAACAAAAATACCGTGGGCGGCAGGATTCGAACCTGCGCGGGCAAAGCCCACATGATTTCTAGTCATGCCCGATAACCACTCCGGCACGCTCACGCAGCAGTGGCCACTTTGACTGCTTTCTTTTTAATATATAAAGGACTTTGAAGAAAGCACTAGTTGCTGAAATTCAGCCACCGGAGAGACAAATAGGCACTCTCTTTGACCATGTCATTTTTGGCTCAAATGAACAAAATTTTCTATTCCCTAACTTTGAGGATATCGATTTTCATTTTAATTTCAACAAGATCTATTGATATCCAAATCCTGAAAGTTCAAATTATAATTATCAAATTAATGTAAAATGTTAGATTAATGAACCCCATTTATTTTTTTTCGATGGGATTGAACCGATTGATCCAATCATTTACATTTATTTGATAAATGATTTAGTGAGTACATTTTTAGGTGAAGCAAATGATTTAACATTCATTCCTCAAGTATTAATTATACTTGCAAAGATTGTTCTTATATGGGGGATAGACTTTTACTATGAGAAATGAATAGAAAACGCTGGAATTGTTCGAAAAAAATGTAACATAAGGTAATTAGGGATAATTATTGATTAAAATTAAAAAATAAAAAATAAAAATAAAAATAAAATTTCAAGCATTTAAAGATAACATATGTCAATCAAGAAGCTTGACAAACGTCCATTATAAAGCAAGGATAAGAGTCCACTATGTGTCAAGAAAGAAACAAGTGTTAGTATAGGAGTCTACAGGCACGTATAGTTTAAATTAATGGCTTGAGACGTGTCCAACCAACCCAAAGAATGATGTGACAAAATCCATTAGCCGATGCACTATATATCATCAAGTGAAAGTGGAGCATCAATGGATTGTTACGACCCTTATCTATCCCAGAATAGTATCAGAGCGAACAATTAATATGGCTGTGAGAGGGTTGGGGGTGTTGCATCAACAGCTAATACCACATGCATATCACCAGAAAATAATCACTATACAAGGGAAATGTTCCAACAGATTGCATAAACACCTTCACAATGACAAAACCTCATTTTGTATCACCTTGACAAATGCAACATGCCTATGCTCCAATCCAGTTCAAGAGGAAATTTACATTTCAGCAAGCTCTTTCTCACAATTTTGAGTATTTGAACATTTCTGTTGTGCATTGTCAACACTCTGGTGCAAGCCATAAACTCAGTTCAAACTACATTGTTCGGGATAATCTCACAAGGGTATACAGCGAGCTAAGCCAGATGAAAGTGACACTAAGTTGGGAGGAGAATTTCACATAACATTGTTGGTGAGAAGCTTGATCCTTTTCCTTCTTCGAAAGCATTGAAGGTGGATTCGGGGAAGTCACAGAATGCAATTCATATTTGGTCAATAAGCGAAAACATATGTCACTACATCAAACATCATCACAAGCACACTTATGACCAAGACAAACGAGGAAATAATAGTGCAATATGATTCATCGTGATTTCTAGAAGTTATAACACCAATACTGTAGTTTCTCAGATTATATAAAAGATATAAAGCTCATCATGGAAAAAATCAAAAACACCCTTTGCTAATAGCACAACTCATCTATCAGTCAAAGCCTCTAAAGTGAAGCGACTTTGGAGGCCCATCACGCCAACAGCACAGCCTTGATTTCTCAGATCAAAAGTTTCTCAATGGCATCCTGCATCAGAAACAAAAGTCGGCACTCATTATCAAATTGGAAGGAGAATGAAAAAAACACTATGGACCAGACTTTTAACCAGACATTTACAAGATATCTGATATCAGATAGCCAGATACCTTGAGTTGCTGAATTTGAGATTTTAATTGGCTTCCCTCATTGCTTGTCACAGAACATGAAATGACAGGTCTAGTGACTCCACATGCTCGGCCAAGTGCTTGTTTTGATGGAACAAAAACATAGGGTACATTCTGCATATAGAAACATAACACTAATTTACATCCATTTTCAAAGTTGTCCGCCTCTCAAAGTGTTTAACTAATGCCTCATTCACTGAAATTGTGGGAGGGAGTGATTACATATCAACTAAAAATTGAAACAACAGCTTCAGAGATTCAGTTTGAACTGATGTATTATGCTTGGAAAGTCAATCATGAAAGCTATATTCTTAAAGAGGCTACTAATAGAAAAATAGACCTATTCCTTCTATGTCACAGGGTTAAACCCCAAAAAATTTGTTTTTTTTTCAAGGTTTTCTCACGTTTTCGATAAAACCCTCTCGTAAAAGTATTTTAACCAAATTTTTAATAATATTAGTAGATGTTATTCGAACCACTCTTTTTCTATCCATCTTCATAGTGTTTTTATTTATTTGAAAAATATGGCTTCTAGAGGGAAATAGCAATAGGAATATTGATGTGATAAATCGTGTATGATGGAACAGTATGTACAACAAGATCAACTAAATGACCAATTTGATGTTACAAATATTTCTCCATACACCAACAATCCCACAGTTCAGGTTTTGCGATGATTAAATATCAAGAATTTATACGAAATACTAAGGCATTCAGAATCTTCTTCATCAGTTTTTTCATACCCTTTATACCAACAAACAAAATTGAAACTTCTAATCAAAATTACAAAATTTTACTTGATTATTCAAATAGACAAAAACATATCTATCGAGTATATGTAGCCTTTCATACATCAAATCCCACTTATGAGGAAATCACCTTATCTTCAGCAAGGAGGGGAAGATGGAGAAGGATCTCCAGGGGCTCGGTGTCTGCGGCCATCACTACGAACTCAGATATACCCCTGTTCAGAGTCTTTGTTGCTGAAATTTAAAGGGCCAAACCACAAATTAGTTTAAAATGGGAGGACCATAGAGGTAGTAGATACACAAATGTAAGGGTTTAGTGTTGTAATTAAACCTTCATTAGCGCCCTTTTTGAGCTGCTTGTAATTAGCAGCTTGTTGAACAAGGTCCAGGATGGTTATCGTCAACTGGGCATCAGCCAGTGGGTATGCTTTTGGATTCACTACTTCACCTGTCTGCAAATACATATATATAGACAACAAAGTCACATATCTATCTATCTATCTATCTATATCTATACTACTTCTAAAAGTACCTTACAAAGAAAAACTTTTATTTTCTCTTCTATTCTCGAACAATTATATAAAGACAATCATATCATATTTTCTAATTTAACTCTTAGACCATTCCGATTCTAGGAATAAATGTTCAATTACAAGTGCAATGGATAAATCTATATCTATAACCCTAGGACCCTTCCAATTCTAGGATTTCATACTCAATTACAATACAATGAATAATCCAATCACCTTTTATGGGTAATCTTAATTATCTCTTAGATCCTTCCAATTCTAAGAGTACATATTCAATTGCAATGCAATAAGCCACATTTTACAGTTACAACTTATAGAGGCTCCAAAATAGTGTCACGAAAGCCATAAAGAGAATACTAAGAAGTCTTTGATTAATAACTCCATTAAAATACATATTATACACTTCCTATCCTTTCCTATTTCCAGGTTATCTGCCCATCTAAATTCAACTCCCCAAATTTTTCTCTGCATCCCAACCCTTGTATAATTCCATGAAATATATATATAATTCCATGAAATTGGTCTGTCCTGTTCAAAAATCATTTCATCATCTAAATTATGTCAAAGCATCTCTGCAACTCCTTTTGCTATACACTGTTGATTTTTCAAGTTCTAATTGTTTTAGTTATGGCCACAGCTGTAATATGGCTTAGTATGATTCCAAGAAGTCCCACCTTCACCATTGATGATATCGACATTCCAGCTCCAGATGAACAAAATTTTGAACATCACAATGAAGTGATCCGAAACACTTGTTTCATATTGAGATATTGCATCCAAAAAGTGGTATCAGTATTACTACAACAACATTTATATCACCTTGTATGATTGCCGTGTCATCGTTGGCACGAAATCAACACCAGCTTTCAGGTAATGAAACAGTGGGTGGTGAAGCTTCTTGTGTCCGTGGACTCGCAATTGATTTTAATTAAAGTGGATAAAGCCACAAGGACTCACTCTATCCTTAACAGCCATTGCCAGTTTCTAATATGGTGATCATTTGGTCAGGCTCCTTTTTTATTGATGAGAATTAATTGGATTTAAAGCATTCCAATATAGACATTGTTACTTTACTAATCATCTACGGATTATATATGTTTATCCACGGTTAAAATAGAAAAAAAGAATAAAACCAAGCAACAGTACTCAAATGACAAAGTATTAAGCACTTCCATGAAACAAATATATTATTAAAGAACTAACCAGAATGGTGCCTGCAAATAGTTTCATTTTAAGTTGTTATTGTTAAAACTATGTCTATATTCAATACAGTGTGAAATGTACAGTTTAATAGATGATTTTTTACTCATGTTATTATGCTACAGTATGTGCTTGAACAAATAACTTGCCTTAATTGGTTTAATCTTGATTACCACCACCACTTGCAACTCTATCAACTCTAAATTCAAGAACATCTCGTCCTCATAAAGATCAGGTAGATTATCCTGCTGTCTTATTTTCAATTGGATTAGTGTGGGCTGGGATAAATTATTGTACTGTAGAAGAGAATATGAGTAATGCAACTTTCGTTATAGCCACATCATCTTGTTCATAAATTGATCTTATGTTTTTATTATATATTGTTCAACTTAAATGGATTATGTACTTTTGTTGTTTTAGGTGTTTTATTGAAAGATGATATAAAAGAAGAGAACCTTTGATCACTTCAGTGTATTTGATTATGACTAAGATTCTAAATTCATGGCTACCTAAGTTTAATTTCAAATCCAAATACAAATCCAAAGAAAAAGTATGTCGGGACATATGCATTGGTTACGACGGATGGGAATATCATATTAATTTTCACACACAAAAAAAAAAAGCAAGAGAGTTTGCATTATTATAATTTTTTTTAGTTTGAAGAGTTGTCAATGTTCATTAGTATTCACATATTTCATATTTCATATATTATAGAATATAGAATTATTAGTTATTGCCTGTGCAGTGTAATAAAAAATGGTAAACAATAAATATATTTATATTCATATCTAAAATTAAATCACAAACATAGAGAAAAGATAAATGATTTTAAGTATCGGTTTGTAGTGGGGGTGAGAGGTGGTGAACGACAATGGTGGTGGTAGGCGACAGTGATGGTTGTGGTGGGTGGCGATGGCAATTGTGGCGATGTCGATGGCGATGGCGGCGGTGGTGGCGGCGTCAGCAGTGGTGGTGGCGATGGTGGCGACGGTATTGGTGGTGGCGACGGTATTGGTAGTGGTGGCGGTGGTGGTAACAGTGACGGTGATGATGGTGGCGACAACGGTGGTGGCGGTGAGGGTGGTGGTATTGGTGATGGCGGAGGTGAGGGTGGTGGTGACGGTGGTGGCGATGTTGGTGGTGGTGGCAGCGGCGGTGACGGTGGTGGTGGGTGGTGGTTGCGGTGGTGGTGACAGCGGCGACGACAATGGTGGTAGTGGTGGTGGCGGTGGTGGGGGTTGGTGGTAGGGGTGGGGGTGGCGCGGCGACGACAATTTTGGTAATGGTGGTGGTGGTGGTGGGGTGGGGGTGATGGTGACGGTAGCAACAGCGGCAACGGTGGTGGCGACGGCGGCGGGGGTGGTAGAAGTTGTGGTGGGGCGGTTTCAAACACTATTTTTTTAAAGTATTTATAAAAAATTAATTTTTAAAAAGTCAGTTCAAACACACCTTTAGGGGCTTATTTTTCCTATTAAACTTAGGGTATTAATATTAACCGTTAGATTAACTTTAAAGTAAAATTTAAAATGATTTTAACCGCGAATAACAAAAGTCATTTTGTTTATCTTTTGAAATTTGAATTGTAAGCTAGTTTATTATATAGATTATTTTTTATTTGAATGGTTGTTCATATTTGAATAGACACAAATGAGTTTTTTAAGTTCTATAAACTAACTGTTTTATGGGTTATAAGGCACACCAAGAAGACAAATTCAATAGCTTAATCCAAAAACACGTTCTAATCGAGTGACAAGGCAAAAGAAATGCTCTTTTTCTCCTCTTTCTCACGCTGCATAAATTTTTTCTTTAATCTTTCATATATATCTCAATTTTATGTTTTTGATATAACACTGGAATATGATACTGTTAGATGGTATAAGTTTTTGAAAACATAGACTAACAAAGTGTGCAGTCAAACAACAATATTGTTATCTACTTAATAAAATGATCAAATATATTTTAGTTTTTTTGCATATAAATTTATAAAATATAAACAATAATTTCAAATAATTCACGTGTGTGCAATAACTAGTAATAATAAATACACAGACACATAGATATACAACCTGCAATAGCATGCATAATCTATAAAAGAGAGCGAGAACAAAGGCATATACCCACAACACACTAACATATAACCAATATACAAACTCCAATGGCATAATAAAGGGGTGGGGGGGGAGAGAGAGAGTACCATTGTTCTGTCGCTAATTGGGGAAGAAGGTAGAGTCTAGGGTTTTTGTTTGCCGGGAGAGAGGGGGAGAGAGAGAGAGAGAGAGAGGAAACGGGGGTTTAAGGGCAGGCAGCCAGGTAGGTGCGAGGTAATGGAAGCGTCAAACTGGGCCCACTTTTTCCAGTTGAATTGGTCTCAGTCCAGAACCTCTTACCTTTTTTTTGAATGGGCTAGACCAGTTAGCCCCAGTCGCATGCTACATGAAATAAGCCCAATACATCTTCAACTCGGCAATCCCTTCTAACAGTGAGCTCGTAACTCTGTTCAGTTGAGCGAGAGAGGGAGAGAGAGAGAGAATGGGGTGGATCGGCGAGCAAATCGAATCAATCAAATCCATTCAGATCAGACAACTCCTCACACAAGCTGTTACTCTCGGTTCGTTTCATCTCTCTTTCTCTCTATGGTGTCGATTTTATGGCTATTTATTAATGGAGTGAGCTTTGTAGAATCCATTTGATCGGTTACTCGAATTGTTGATTCTTTTGAAGAAAAGCTCATTTCATGAATTCTCAAATTCAAATTTAAGGTGTTTGATTTTATCGTGAAGTTTGAAATAAGGGCTTCAGTTATACAACTGTTTGAAGCTATATCTCCCAACATTCTAGGCACATAGGAATACATATATAATATGGATACATTGTCCTGCTCTTTATTGCGCAGAAAAATTGCAATTTTTTTTCAGTCATGCCTGTAATTCGCACAAAGTTTGTGGATTTCCACTCAGATGCTCAGTAAATATCATGCAACATTGCTCAAGCTTATGTAATGTAGCCATTTGGGTAGACTGTCTTCTTAAAGTATGTTAATCATTTGAGTGACTTCGCCAACTTGCTTTTTTCGTTGTTGCTATGCAACAAAAGGTAACAAGTAAAAGGGAACTTCTTTTGCACCTGATCAGTTACAAACCATACTAAACATATATTTTTTGACTTGGTATTTGTTGCACAAGGACCCTTCTCATGCAACAATAATTTCTTTGAGGCAATTTCTTATTCCTCTTGTTTATTTGGAATTATTGTAATCTTCTTCCCATTGAAGCTTTTTTTTCTTGTGCTTGATGGCTATTGTTTATCCCCCTTGTTAAGAATCTTTATATCCAATGTTGTTTGTATTCCTCTTATCAATTGGGTAAAATTTAAATAGTCTGAATCTTGCATTCCTTTCAGGTATGATTGTGACATCAGCACTTATTATATGGAAAGGGTTAATGTGTATAACTGGTAGTGAATCACCAGTTGTTGTTGTGCTTTCTGGAAGCATGGAACCTGGCTTTAAAAGGGTGAGTCCTTAGTTGAAGAATCACCTTGGTTGTTTCTTCCTACAAAACTTTATTTTACATTTTCTTGGAATTTACTGGAAGTACTATTCTGATGTCAGGTGGTTGTTTTTTGAAGTAATTTATCCAAATAATGTAATTTATCAAAATGCCGTGTTTTTGTATCACGTCACAGCTGCTTCAATTTTGTTCTAATCTGGTCACATTCCTAAATCCTAATAGCTG